TCACAACTTCATCAACAACATCTTTTCTACTCAACAGCTGCTGTAACAATTTCAGCAATGGGACATATTGGAAACTGTGTTTCTTTTCAGCATCAAGTATATATTCAACTGGTTCTAAAACACAGAAATTTTCCTTGTAATACTGCTTACGCAGATATGCTGTGCTTAGCGGACCACCCTTTTGAATGGACGTTAGTACACGATTACCTGAAAAAACTGCATTAATAGTTTCTGTAATGAGATCTTTATCAATGGGGAGGTTTCTTTGATTAAAGATATTCGTCACAATATCACAGGATAATGGTACAGGTGCCGACCGTATCAAATGATAGAGTTCCTCTAAAAATACATCAATAGCTGTGCTTGGCACATGGACCAAATGCTCCAGCTTTAGCAGAGTATTTGCAAAACTTTGCTCTATGACTTTTTGCAAGTCCTCAGTATCACACTGACCATGTGAAGGAATGACAGTATCCAACTGATCTACAAACTCCTGACTATTTTCCGCAAATTCATTTGTAGGTGCGATTCCTGTTCTTACTATACCTCGTTTAAAATCACCTGGTGTATAATGTCTGTGTTTACGGTTTTTGTGTGATTTAAATGTACAGTAAATGTTTGTTTTAAAGTTGCAGCCTAGAAACATACAAGTAAGTGTCTCATTTCTTTTAAGATGCGCATATATGTGAGCAAAATAATCACGCTCTGATGCTAAATCATTGCATTCGCAAAGGTGGCAACTGAAAATCGCCTTTTTTTTAGTAGTGACCCCCGTGCTGTGGATTTTATTTTGATGGACAATAAGGGCATTCCACGTTTTAAAGGTGCATGGACAATGCAGGTATGTACATGGAAAGTGAGAACGACGTCCAAAATGTGGATGTTTTAATCTGTAGTGATGCAAAAGCTTGGAACGACTTGATACCGTTTCTGTGCACCCCTTACAACTCCACATTCCCAGCACCACCTAACCCTGTAAGACACAGATAATCAAGAGTCAGCTCATTCAATATCCAGAGGATTACGTCAGATTCAGAGATCTGACACACACACACACACACACACACACACACACACACACACACACACACACTTAAAATTGGACGCCAACATTGAAGATTTATTTTGTTTCTTTATGCTAATCTACGTATACAATAACATTGATGTTATTGCACATAACAAGAATATAACTTCATTTTCCAGACATGTGTAATCATAAAAGTAAAAAATGCCACCATCACATATATACGGTGGCTGGGAAGTGCAAAGCGCAACAAATTAAAAAACGGCAACAAATTAAAAAACCGCAACAAATTAAAAATCCACAACAAATTAAAAAACCGCAACAAATTAAAAAACCGCAACAAATTAAAAATCCACAACAAATTAAAAAACAGCAACAAATTAAAAATCCACAACAAATTAAAAAACAGCAACAAGTTAAAAATCCACAACAAATTAAAAAACAGCAACAAATTAAAAATCCGCAACAAATTAAAAATCCGCAACAAATTAAAAAACGGCAACAAATTAAAAATCCGCAACAAATTAAAAAACGGCAACAAATTAAAAATCCACAACAAATTAAAAAACCGCAACAAATTAAAAATCCACAACAAATTAAAAAACCGCAACAAATCAAAAATCCACAACAAATTAAAAATCCACAACAAATTAAAAAACCGCAACAAATTAAAAATCCACAACAAATTAAAAAACCGCAACAAATCAAAAATCCACAACAAATTAAAAAACCGCAACAAATTAAAAATCCACAACAAATTAAAAATCCTTGACGGAAAGGGATTGTCTGAAATACCGGAAGTGGCACAACGATTAGGCTTACTCCATATTTGTAGCTCAGAAAAGTGATTCGGGATGTCAACAAACGTTGAGAAACTCACGCCTCACAGCGCTTCCTTATCACCCTGACGGTGCTTGCTGCACTACATAGAGAACCGGAAAATGTTTTGCCCGTTTTGTGGCGTTAGCTTCAGCCTCTTCACCCCTTTTTGTGCTTCCTGTGGACGGTCTCTGGAGCTTTTGCGGGACACATACCAGGCTGAAGGATCAGACACCCTACAGTACTGCATTAAATATTTCAACGAAGGTCACTCATATAGTGTTATCATGGACATGATGTTAAGTTTGCATGGTGTAAAGATAAGTTTAAGGAGTCTTAAAAGTAAACTTAATAATGCTGGACTTTACCGAAGAAAATATTTTCACTCCAGAACAACGATCATTAACGCAATCAGAGCGGAGCTTCAAGGACCTGGGCGATTGTTTGGGTATCGAACAATGTGGCAGGTACTTAAACAAAAGCATCATCTTAAAGTGAAGAGGGATGATGTGATGAAAATACTCCGGGAGCTTAATCCTCATGGATGCCAGATGAGAACACGCAGAAGATTCATTAGGAGAACCTATCATTCGCTGGGACCCAACTACATGTGGCATGCTGATGGTTATGACAAGCTCAAACCATTCGGTTTGGCCATTTCAGGGTGCATTGATGGATTTTCACGCAAGGTTTTGTGGCTAGAATGTGGACCAACCAATAATAATCCAGTGGTTATAGCTTACTATTACTTGTCATGTGTTGGGAGCCTTGGTGTTGTACCGATGAGACTGAGAACTGACTGTGGGACAGAAAACGGCATTATGGCTGCAGTTCAGTGCGCACTACGTCACCATCATGATGACCACTTCAGCGGAGAGTCCAGTCACATGTTTGGTTCATCAACGAATAACCAGCGAATTGAGTCCTGGTGGTCCATATATCGAAAAGGAAGGTAAATATAACATTTAATTTTGCCTGATATTTAAAGGCGTAACAAATTTGAATGTCGTGCAAAAGTTGATTTATTGTCAGTCTGCCCCAGGGCAGCTGTGGCTACAACTGTAGCTGCCTCCACCAGTGTGTGAACGTGAGAGTGAATGAACAGTGGAATTGTAAAGCGCTTTGAGGGCCTCGAAAAGCGCTATATAAATGCAATCCACTGTTGTTATTATTATTATTATTATTATTATTTCAGTAATTCAACTTAAAAAGTAAAACCGATATTAAATACTCATTGTATGCCAAACTATACATTTTTAGCCCATTTAGTAATTATGATGATTATGCTTTGGAACTTAAGAAAAACCCAACTTCAAAACCATAATATTGTGAAAAGGTTAAATATTTTAGACTTAAAGTGCCACTCTACTATGAGCTAATTAATTCAAATCATCTGCAAAGGGTTCCTGAGCCTCTAAATGGTCTTTCTAATTCAGGAGGACTCACAGGATGGACATGACTGCTGTCCTGACAGCTGTGGGAAAAAAAACATAATTGACACCCTCCATAAAGAACACCTTAAAAGAATTTGAATGTTCACAGAGACTATCAAAGCACATTAATAGAAAGTTTTGTCTAATGTAAGTGTGGATGAAAGGGGTGTAACATAGTGTAGTGGCTAAGACCTCAAGGCTGCTACTGAAGCATCCTGGTCTTCCATAACACCTCATCAGATCCACAGACTGATAGCATCCATACCACGCTGCATGGAGGCAGTAATTTATGCAAAAAGGACCCAAACAAATAGAACATACAAATTGTTAGAGACATTGAATTTGGGTTTTTCATAAGTTCTACGTCTTAATCATTAACATTGTAAGAAATACTTGAAACACCTCACTTTGTATGTAATGACTCAGTATCGCTAATTTCACATTTAATTAGAATTCCTAAAATAAATTAACTTTTGCACATTACTGAAATGTTTTAGAGTTTTGCCTGTATGCAATCCCTTTCGATAGAAAACATTTAAACTGACTGGAGTCTATATATGATTCAGTTAAAATGAACTGTAAAGTGCCATGCGATGACGTGTTGTGAAACGATGCCATGTAAACAAACTAAACTATCTCTAAACAATTTTTTTAGGGCTCAGTTTTGGTTGGAGCTGTTTGCGGATCTTCGAGATGCTGGACACTTCAATGGAAGTCACGAGCATCAGTGCCTTTTGAGATTTTGCTTCACTGTCATTGTTAAGAAGGATCTTGATGAATGTGTGAAGCTGTGGAACACTCATCGGATTCGTCCCTCAAGAACAGCTTCATGTCCAGGAGGTGTGCCAAATGAACTGTACTACCTACCCCACAGGTAACGGATAATAATGATCAAATAATTACTTTATGTGTAAACCTATATTAATGCAATTGTCTTCCATTGATCACAGATACGGCTCCAGAGACTGTGGATTCCTGATTCAACAATCTGAACTGGACGCTTTTCCTGAGTCTAGGCTGTCAGTAGTTGTATGTGGGGACTCAAACATACAGGAGTATCTGAATTTTGTAATGGAGCAAAATCATTTTCAAAAGCCCGTCTGCTGGGAGTCTGCCACTGAACTTTACATGAAGTTAATAGAAATTGCAAATTTCTAAAAAAAACAAAAACCTGGCTTTTGTTGTTTTTATATAGCATATGCTGCTTTTTTGAACTAGGCTACATGAGTTGGCTGAAGACGCCAAAAGTTTAAGTTTGTGTTTGTAAAAGCATATTCTTACTGAATGTCTTGATAATTCTGGTCCTTGTTTAGCTGATGGAAGTTGAGATACAGTCCTGAACATTTATATAAATAAGTAAATCAAATCAAAATCACATCTTGCACTGTATTGTGTGTTTATTACAACTTTTAAGAGTAGAACACAGTACACCTTTAAATGCCTTTACTTTTAATAGCACTGTCAAAACTTTGAACAAATCAAGTCTAGCGATTGCATTTTAAATCTCCTTTGAACAGATGTACCTACATTTTAGAACAAAAAAAACATGCTCAAATACATAACAGATTTCTGGATAAGTCCCGTAGCAAAAAACCTACAGAATTTACAATGTAATGCCAAGAAGAAGCAGCTGTAAGTAACTGGGTTATCTAATAAAACTACAATAAACCTGGTAAACTATAATGGATTTGTGCTGTACCGCCAGTATGTCCCACCTTCTCCTATTCATAACATATTTTAAAAAAAATTTGACTTAAAAACTTGAGGAATAAATCAACAGCAGGTTTGAACTACAAGGCCAGACATTCTAGAAACATCCAAATCCTGGGGAGTTTTGAATTCCAAAATCCATGTTGGATTTAAACAAGGAATATGAAGTTATCATTGGTAGTTTCAATAAGTTTAAGCATGTATTTGCCATCGGGAATAAAGAGTCATCCAGGAACTGTAGGCTTGGTAGTGGATCTAATCCAGAAGGTGGCAGTGATGTTAGCCCAGTTGCAAACATCAGAACATCGCCCAACGACACAGCAGTTTGTGATTCTGCAAAAAATTAAAAAAAAAATATATATGTATATGTGAATTCAACACATTGTCTTGTAATGAGTACTAAAAGAAATACTGGTATAAACCTTCACAGTCCAGCAGATAGTCTGACCAGTAGCCCACAGTTTGACTTTCCAGACGTCTCCTGTTACTTCCAGATGGGCTGAAGTCAGGTTTGAAAAGTCTCTCAAGTTCAAGGGCTGTGAGTTTCTTTTCCATGTGACACAGGACCGGGGAAAGCAAAGTAGGGTGTTGCTGGAGTGCACTCAGGAAATTAAGTGCTGAAAGACCCTCTTTAAATCTAAAGAATGAGGAGAACTTTGTGTCATTTACCAGTTCATAGTACATGCACAAACTATGGACAAACTGTGAACTTTGGAAACCTTGGAGAATGTAAAATATTTCAGTCGGAAATTATGAACAACACTGTCATAACAATAATTCACCTGTCTCCCTGTCAATTACAGATGAGTTTCGAGCAATTATATACCACCGGAGATAGTCAGACACAATGTCTTTCTTTTCCTCAACTGTGGAAACATGCCTTAGACAACCAGCCACCTGTAGCATAGTACTGTGTTTTATGACACAGTCACGCAGGACATCCACTGAACCAGCACTGTCGATCTGAAAAACCCATAAAAATGGACATACACAATGTAAGCTTACGTGTCTGATTTTCATTCCTGTTTTTTCCCTACACAAAGAAAGAATTTTTTAATGTCATACAGATGAAGAAGCTGTAGTTCTATCCTGCATTCAAATCCTGCGCTGTCCTCACCTCTTGTAAAGCTTTCCCTATGTCGTCATCTGTGACTGAGGCAACTGTTGCTTTTACTGAAGTCTGGCCTGCAAGATAATGTACCAGCTCTTCTGACAGGAAATGGGGCCCTGGACCACCATGCACAACTGACACGGCTATCATCTTTCCTGCTAGGTAGTATTCATCCTCCCTTACAGCTGTGAATGAATACAGTAAATGATAAACTCTCTCACACACACACCTCTCTCTACCGATCGATCAGATCTGATCGATGTCAGATAGATCGATCAGATAGACAGACTAATGCTGTTTTGAAATAATCCAAGAAATTATTATGAGTTGCTTCTGATAATAATTAAAAACAAATTGATTTAAAAGTCCAAAAAAGTCTTTAAATTAAGTTTATCAAACATCTGATCATTGCATACCCTTTGCATTGTAGACGAGGAATCGACGTCCTTCGGGTCCATCAAAAATGGGACGATCTTTCATGTGTTTCATTAGCAGACTCAAAAACTCTCGTTTTGGGCCACCTGCATCAAGTCCTTCTTCTAGAATGCCAGAATCATCAGTAAATTTAACCAGCATGTCATTGGTTTCAGAGTATGACAACCGCCTGAAACCCCTGACTGCTCCATCCCAGACATTTGCTCTTGAGATGTTGAATCTGCTGACACTTCCATGATGAATAGCACTGGATAAGTTTGCAATGATGTCAGGTAGATTAATGTTAACGTCTTCCCTGTAATCACAAAAATGAAAGACCGAATGCAAGACTATACAATTTAGCATTGTTATTTGAAGTAGTATTTGATATTTTACAGTGCTCTGTCATCAATCGGTGAAGCAACTTCAACCAGCTCTTCATCCTCGTCCTCAATGCAGGGGGCACACAGGTCTGCATATTTACTGTTGAGAAATTATAATTCCAACATTAGAATAACTTCTATTCACCCTTTAATTATCTTTACCCATTTCACAAACCCAAACGTGTACTGTAGTTACAGATTTAAAATTACATATAAGACACAATTTTATTTACCTATAGGGACTCATGACTGGATTCGTTTCGTTTTGGTGATCAAGATCCTCTGTATCAGATATTACAATCTGGAAAAAAAGAACAAAAATTGCATACTGTATATAAACATACATAGCTTTGTACTATTTCAGCAATAGCAAAAAACGTCATGCTGACATAAATTGCCCAAATACCTGACATGGCTGTATGATAGATGAAGGTCCTGGAGCATGTCTGAAACAGAATAAGAGTATTGGAATTAAAATGTCCAGATAAGAAGCTCATACAGTTCAATATTATTTATGATACCAACATTATAAAAAGGCTATGAAACCAATAAATATTTATATTAGGGCGGGGCAATAAAATAACAATATGTATTGCAGTATACTTTTCTCTCAAAGGAAATATGAGACTATTGCAATAGAGCTATCCATCCATCCATTTTATATGCTGCTTATTCCTCTAATCACTCTTTTTTTTCATTGACATAAGAATAGTCAATCCTTATCAAGTAGCGCAGCAACCAATCGCTCTGGGAACAGCATCATGTCCAGTTAGGGTGACTTGTTACCTGCAGCACAGTGAAGTAGCAGCGCCACCCGTGGAGATGTTTGGGCACCATTTACATCTAAACCAACCATTAAAATAAATATACAAGGAGAGATTAGGAGAATTTGCTTTTATTTCTTAGCTTATTCATTTGATATTGACAAAGACTTTGTCAATTTTATGTCTGTTCTCCTGTAAAACTTACTGTAAACTAAGATTTATGTTTAGAATCATTCTTTTTTGTTTTTAAATGTAATTGACCAAGCAATTGAGTGATCTGGTGTTTGTTGTCTTTTGAAACTGGAAATCTTTATCCCTGACTTTTGATTTAGTTTTTAACATGTACCTTTTTTTAGTTATCTGAAACGGATGTAATATGTTAATACATCCGTCTGTCTGAACTTATGACAGGAAATAAATATTTAAATCAAAACAAGCTTCTGAGGATTTCACATCTTACTTATGTGAAATTTTAAGTTCACCTTGTAATCGGAAGGTTGCCGGTTCGAGCCCCGGATCGGACAGTCTTGGTCGTTGTGCCCTTGGGCTAGACACTTCACCCATTGCCTACTGGTGGCGCCAGTGTTCGGCAGCCTCGCCTCTGTCAGTGCGCCCCACGGTGGCTGTGGGTACAATGTAGCTGCCATCACCAGTGTGTGCATGTGTGTGTGAATGGGTGGATGACTGGATGTGTGAAGCGCTTTGGGGTCCTTAGGGACTAATAAAGCGCTTTACAAATACAGGCCATTTACCATTTACCATGAGCAACGGCACATTTAATATGTACAAATCTAGCGGTTTATATCGTGATCAATATTCCCTGAAATAAAACAAAGACATATATTGTATTGCCCAACTCTAATATATAGCAGAACAAGCTCTTAAATAACTTACTCCTTCTCTGCATGTTTACCATTAGGGGTACTCTGGTCTTGTGGTTTGAAAACCTAAGATGAAAAACATGCACTTTTCAAAGCTTTCACCAACTTCGTATCGCATTTAGATAGTTCATCAATACTTAAAAAAAATACTTTTTTAAAGAACATATAATCACACAATGAAAATAATAGACCCATGGATGCTACAGAATTATGATCATTATAGAGAAAAAAAATAGAGCACTCAGAGGACATGCACCTCTGCCAGGGCCACTCACAGGCCTCTGGCATGGTGGAGAGGGAAAAAAAGTACACACCAATGTGTCTGCCTGGTTGAACTCAGCTGTGCTTCTTGATGTAATCACAATCTCAGGGTCCGAGTCTGAGGTACCATCCTCTGCAATCAGAGCTGAGAAAGTAGACACATTATTAGTTGTTGTATATGTAAACACATCAAAATATAAAATTAACAAACCTCGTTTGAAGTGGCTCTCTGGGCAAATGAATAGAGAAATCCTGTTGTAGTTCTTTCCTATTTCCTCTTTGTAGTCTGCCAATCGGAATGGCCTTTCTGTCCCAGGCACATTTATCACCTCTGTGCAGTCAGGATACAAAAGGACATATGGTCCCTCCACCAAGTCCTTGTTGAATGTTCTCATTTTTTCTACAGCCTGCTTCAGGAGGTCAGGGGCTGTAATTTCGGGGGTAATAAATAAGGGCAGTGTTTTCCCTCTTAGCGGTTTTAAGTCGGTTTGTTGTGACACCATAAATCCGATATTGATCTACAAACAAATAATAAAAGCCAGATCACTTTAAGAATAATTGCCAAATCCTCGTTTATAAAGTTACCTGTGATGGCTTACCTTGACAGGTTTACTCTGTTGCTTGAGTTTTAATTTTGCTCCACAGCTGAAGGCCTGACGCTCTTTGGATTTTGATTTTTTGTACTCCATGAACTGCTTGTATGACGGACATGTTTGTTCTGGTTGAATGAAAAACGTTTGACATCAAAACGGGGTTAGCACTCTCCATTACTAAACGTAGACGAGAATACAGTATAAGGAAACAGAAACAGAAACCGGAGCCAAAATGGTAAATAAACGTGCTATTTAACTGAAATAGCATAGACTGTCTGAAGAGAACAAAAAGTGAGTAATATATCAAAATTACTTTGTTCAGAATTTTCTGTTTGTTTTGATGTCCCCGGGGAGTTTGATCCTTCAGCCTGGTCTGTGTCCCGCAAAAGCTCCAGAGACCGTCCACAGGAGGCACAAAAAGGGGTGAAGAGGCTGAAGCTAACGCCACAAAACGGGCAAAACATTTTCCGGTTCTCTATGTAGTGCAGCAAGCACCGTCAGGGTGATAAGGAAGCGCTGTGAGGTGTGAGTTTCTCAACGTTTGTTGACATCCCGAATCACTTTTCTGAGCTACAAATATGGAGTAAGCCTAATCGTTGTGCCACTTCCGGTATTTCAGACAATCCCTTTCCGTCAAGGATTTTTAATTTGTTGTGGATTTTTAATTTGTTGCGGTTTTTTAATTTGTTGTGGATTTTTATTTGTTGCGGTTTTTTAATTTGTTGTGGATTTTAATTTGTTGCGGTTTTTTAATTTGTTGTGGATTTTTAATTTGTTGCGGATTTTTAATTTGTTGCGGTTTTTTAATTTGTTGTGGATTTTTAATTTGTTGCGGTTTTTTAATTTGTTGCGGATTTTTAATTTGTTGCGGATTTTTAATTTGTTGTGGTTTTTTAATTTGTTGTGGATTTTTAATTTGTTGTGGATTTTTTATTTCAACTTTGTTTTATTAATTTCAACAATGACATACAAAGTTAGCAACAGCTAAGTCCATCTTGATTTCAGAACAGTGGTATGTCCATTATACCCTCCAACCCCCCAACCCAAATTCTCCCCCTACCAGGTCTACAATAGACAAAACACTGCAGAAAACCAGTTTCTGCCCACACACACACACACACACACACACACACACACACACACACACACACACAAACCCAAAAAATAAATTAAAAACAAACAAACAAAAAAACAACAACAACAACAACAACAACAACAACAACACCTCAGGACCCATACACATAACAAGCATAACCCCCAAAAAAAACAACCACAACTCCCCCCCCTCCCCCCCGCCCCGTAACCAAACAGACAAACAAAAACAAACAAAACAAAAGCAGAGAAAACAATAGCAGAGAAAGGACCAAGCAAAACAAAAGGAAAAACAAATAGATAAGGTATAAATAAAATTAAAAAAAAAAAAAACATTATAATGTAGCTTCGCTCAGTTCACTGCAGACTCAGGAAGTAAAGTAATAGTGTCGACCAGCAAGAGAAATGATTTCCAGATTTTATTAAATTCCCTAATAGAACCTTTTAGAGAGAATCTAAGTTTTTCCAGCTTTAAGTTAAAGAGTACATCTCTCACCCAATGGTCATGAGTTGGGGGTGGGGAAGCTTCCACTTCAACAGAATAAGCCTCCGGGCCAGTAAAGTGGTAAAGGCTAGGGCCTGTTTGAGGGGACCAGATAAGTTCAAGTCAGGAGGAATGCCAAAAATTGCAGAGAGTGGGTTAGGAAGGACAGTCTGGCCATATGCTTGGCTAAGTGTGTCGAATATATTCCTCCAAAATGCACTCAGTTTTGAACATGACCAAAACATGTGGACATGGTTGGCAGGCGATAGTCCACATCTGCTACAGGCATCACTGATGGTTGGATAGATTTTAGATAATTTTGCGTTTGTATAGTGTACTTTATAGACCACCTTGCACTGAATCAAAGCATGACGAGCACAAATTGAAGACGAGTGAATCAATTTCAAAGCACGATCCCACTGCTGTTCTGGCAGGGTTGTCTGAAGCTCTTCCTCCCATCTCAGCTTAATATGAGAAATGGATTTGGGGACCAAAGCATCTAGTATTTTATACAAGGCTGATATCAGTCTGTTTTGATGAGGGTTCGTCTGCAGGATGATATCCAGATTTGTTTCTGGAGGCCGATTGGGAAAGTGAGGGAACTGCGTTTTTACAAAATTTCTAGCCTGAAGATAGCGAAAAAAGTTGGAGTTAGGCAGGTCGTATTTGGACGATAGGTCAGCAAAAGATAGAAAGGTGTCCTGACTGTACAAGTCCTTAACAGTCCTAAGTCCGTTATCTTTCCAACTACTAAAGGCCGCATCAGTGTTTGAAGGTGCAAAATTAAAATTTTTTGATAAAGGTGTTAGCAAAGACGGTCCAAGTAGCCCGAAGTATTTTCTGAACTGTCGCCAAATAGTTACTGTTTCCTTAGCTATTAGATTATCCCCAACAAGGGTTGGAGAAAAAGGGAGTGGTGAGCTGAGTATTGATGATAATGAGTAACAGCTAGATGCAGTTTCCATTTGTACCCAGGCTGTTACAGGGGGGTCGTTATGAACCCATTGTAAAAGTTTTTGTATGTTAGCTGCCCAATAGTAGTGTCTAAAATTGGGCAAACCAAGACCACCATCACTTTTAGAGGACTGAAGAATAGACTTGCAAATTCTAGCTTGTTTCCCTCCCCATATGAAATGTGACAGAATCTTTTCTAACTTGTCAAAAAATGCCTTGGTAAGAAAAATCGGGACATGTTGAAAAAGATACAAGAATTTTGGGAGGACACTCATCTTTATCAGGTTAACTCTCCCTGCCACTGACAATGGTAGAGAAGTCCAACGGTCACAATCTTTCCCAACATTTTCTAGTAGGGATAGAAAATTCTCCCTCATCATTTTATGTATAGAAGAGGAAATAAAAACCCCCAAATATCTAAATCCGGTTTCTGTCCACTTAAAAGGCACTATTGAGTGGGGAAGAGCTCTGGCCAGGGAATTAAGGGGTTGCAACTCACTTTTTTGATAATTGACCTTATATCCTGACAGTGTACCATATTGGTCCAGTATGTCAAAAAGCACCGGGAATGAGTTTAGAGGGTCAGAAATGTACAGGAGCAAGTCATCTGCATAAAGGGAGAGTTTGTGAGTCACACCGAACCTTGTAATGCCTTTAAATCTATCCTCTGAACGCAGCCATATTGCAAGAGGCTCGATAGCAATGGCGAATAGGAGGGGTGAGAGAGGGCACCCTTGCCTAGTGCCCCTCTCAAGTGGAAAAGGCAAAGACAAGTTGTTGTTAGTACGAATACAGGTGGATGGCGAGGAATATAGTAGCTTAACCCAGAGAATAAAGTCAGCCCCCAAGCCAAACCTATCCATCACCTCATAGAGGAAGCTCCACTCGACGCGGTCGAAAGCTTTCTCCGCGTCAAGAGATACCACAACCTCTGGAATTGAGTTGCACGATGTATGGATAATATTCAAGAGGCGTCTTGAATTGTCATATGAGTGCCTGCCGGCCATAAACCCCGTCTGGTCAAAGGCGATAATTTGTGACAGAACACGTTGTAGCCTAAGTGCGAGGATTTTAGATAGTATTTTAAAATCAATATTTAAAAGAGAAATTGGTCTGTAACTACTGCACAACAAAGGATCCTTATCCTTTTTCAAGATTAAACAAATAGTAGCTTCGGACAAAGTCTTGGGTAATTGACATTTTGAAAAGGCTTCATTATACATATCTTTCAACAACGGTGCCATAAGATCAGAATTGACTTTATAGTATTCTGCAGAGTAACCGTCAGGGCCCGGCGATTTACCTGTGTTTAAGGATTTAATGGCTTCTTGTACCTCTACTACAGTGATAGGTCCCCCTAATCCTTTCGTCAGATCTCTATCTATTCTTGGAAAATGTATATTTTGGAGAGTTTCTTCTGATAGAGGGGGAGAACTTGAAGTGTATAGATTGGAATAGAAACTTACAAATACTTCATTAATTCCCTCTGGTATTATGTCACCAGCAGCAGACTTGACCTTTGGGATTAGCTTAGAGGTTGCTTCGGCACGGGCTTGATAAGCCAGAAGTTTCCCTGCCTTGTCGCCAGATTCAAAAAAGCGTTGCTTAGTCTTAATTAATTGAACCATAGCTGTTGCGGTGGTGGTTAAATTGAGACTGGCTTGAACTTTCACACGTTCTGTATAGAGGTTAGGATCTGGGTTTGATGCATATCTGCCATCTAGATCTTTGATCTTATTCAATAAACTGGACGTGTAAGTTAACTCTTTCTTCTTTAAATTTGACACAAATCCTATAAGCTGGCCTCTCATGTAGGCTTTCGACGTTTCCCATAATACACCTCTTGACACTTCAGTAGAATCGTTCAACTCAAGGAAAAGTGAGAACTGTGATCTCAAAAAATGTGTGTAGTCATCCCTTATCAACAGGCTAGAGTTAAATCTCCAATGTTTAATGGGTCGAGACGGGGTCGCTAATACCACATCAAAAGAAACTGGTGAATGATCTGAAATGGCGATAGCATGATACTGACAATGGCTAATTTTACAGAGAAACCTAATATCAACAAGAAAAAAGTCTATACGTGTATATGTACGGTGGGGATGAGAGAAAAAGGAAAATGCCTTAGTAGTGGGATTCGCATGTCGCCATGGATCCACAATCCCCAGCTGAGTTTTGAAAAATTCTAGGGTTTTAGCAGATTTATTCAGGGAACAGGCCTTAGTTGACGATCTATCCAGCAGAGTGTCCTGAACCAAGTTAAAATCACCTCCAATAATAAGATGATAGTTTTCCAGATTTGGAAGTGAAGAGAAAAGTTTAGCTATAAAAGAGTCGTCATCCCAGTTCGGCCCGTACACGCTAGCCAGCTAGCCGGTTTTTTAATTTGTTGCGGTTTTTTAATTTGTTGTGGATTTTTAATTTGTTGCGGTTTTTTAATTTGTTGCTGTTTTTTAATTTGTTGCGCTTTGCACTTCCCAGCCACCGTACATACAACATTAACTTTTACTAAAAAAAGTTATTCCCAACAAGCAGAACATTAAAGTGCCAATCTTTTGCTCATTTATACATAATGTTTTGAGAAGCAGCTCACATATGTTCCACACAAACTAAAAAAAACCCCAGAAAGGTTGTAA